GAACTGGGGTGCACAGAGCCCACAGCTCTTCAGGAGTTGTGCTGCTGCTCCTGGGCTCAAAGCATTTAATGTCCTGTCTCTTTTTACCTTTTCCTGTAAAAATCCCCCCAAAATAAGCGCTGCCCTATGCCCAGAGATTTGTTACCACTTGATCAAAACCCCCTCTGGCAGTTCTCAGTCATTCTCATTCTGACTTCTCTTTCTCCAACCTTTGTTCCTGCCTCTGCCCAAAGCCCAGGACTTGCAAGATGTTCAAAACAGAAACCATGAAGGTCCTGCTCTGCCTTTCAAACAATATCTGCACTCAGGGAAATATTGTTAGATGAGAGGCATTTATTCAAGAACCTTGGAAGGGTCCTGGGATGAGGCTGGGTATTAAAATATCCAGGCTGTGCCCTTTCCCCACTGCCTGTTTACACCTTGGACAGCAAAAGACAAATACAGCTATTGGCTGTCTAACTTCTGATATTTCCTGGAGAGTTTCCCAGTTTCAAACCTCCAGAGGAACAAAAAAGTTCCTCGCAGTTACCTCTGCTAATGGAAGACTTGGCACAGCCAGCATAAAACATTGATTTCTAAAATACATTTTATTTGAGACCTCCCCCTGACCCCCTGTGTGACTCCAAGCCACACAAAAAAACCCCAGTTCCCAGCTCATTTTGAGCTTTTCTATATAAAACAAAGTTTGTTAAAGATATTTCCAGTGGTGCCAGCCAGAAACAGAAATGTTCACAGCTCATTTTTATGGCCCTCACTGGTGTGGAGGCTCCAGACAGGTGTCCTCTCTGGGCAAGGACAAGGAATGCCCTTGACTCAAGAGCAGAACACTCAAATTCCTTGGTTTGTTTTAGCTGAACCTCCTCCTCCATCCCCAGCTAAGTGCATGTTCTGAATGCTCCCCACCAAGCCCTCGCCACATTTCTCACTCCAAATAAGCAGGAGAGGAGGCCCAGGTGCTTGGAGGGTGGGGAGGGCAGGCTCTCAGCTCAGGTGGGGCTGATGCCACCCAGGAGGCAGGAGCAGCACCTTTCTCCAGCCTGGCAAGCTCTGGGAGCGTTTGTTAATTGTGTTTAATTGGGGCTAAGCAGGGCAGGGGCTTCCAGCAGGACGGTGCTCACCTGCAGAGGTCCCTGATCCCTGGAAACAGCCACCCTGGCAAAGAGGGCACTGCAAACATGGGGAGAAGTGGAATTTTGCCAGCCTAATGCTGAGGGTCAGCCCTGGAAATCAGGAGAGGTGTTGTGGAAAGCACTGCAGCTGCCCTGGGCAAAAGCTGGCAACAAGGTCCAGCCCATTTCGAGCCCTGGAGCCCAGCCTGCCCCAGGATATCCCAGTTTTCAGGATGGTTTCCACAGCCTTCTCCAGATCTGCACTCACTGTCCCTCTGTGCACAGACACTGATGCTAATAATGCCATGCAAGACATCAAAAAGTTCATTTCAGTGGCCCAGCTCCTGGTCCAGGGAATTCCCACGTGCACAGACTGCTCTAACAAAAGCAGCTGAAGGCTCTCAGAGTGATGGGCTGACCTCCCCGTGGGGCAGGAGCTGCCCCTGAGCACTGGCCAGCTCTGTGCAGAGCCTGTGTCTCCTGTGCTGCACAGCTGCCATCAGAGCTCACTGTTCATCTGCAGGAGCTGGAGCCAGGCTTAAAAACGCCATTAATTAAGTGTTGGCGGAGGTGTTTGGAAAGATGTTCCCATAAATATAGTGCTTTAAAGTGTTTCCCTAGAAACTGAGAAAAGAGTTGAACAATATGAAAAATAGCCAGGCTGATGACTCCCCCATGGAGCAGTGCCTGGGCTGGAGGGACCCTTTAGGAAAGAGAACTTTTCCCCCAAGTTGGCCACTGGAAATGCTTGGCTGGTAGCACAAAATGCAAGAGTGAGCCTTTTTATCATTCCTTGCTCCCTGTGCCCTCCTGCTTTGCCCTGCTGCTGCTGGCAGGTGGGGGATGCTCTGTGGCTGCAGGCTCAGGAATGGCCCTGGTGTTTGAGTGCTCCTCGTGTGGGGATTCCTCCCAAACCCAACCACCTCAGTACTCCAGGCACAGCGAGGATAAACCTGGCACACCCCACAGCCTCTTTCAGCTGCTGCTCTCCCAGCTCCCTCAGCCCCTCTGGGAGCTCCAGCCCCTTCCCCAGCCCGGGGGACCAGGTGGAGAAGACAGAGTTTGGCAGAAAATCTTCCCAATCAGTTCATTTACCTCTGCAGAAATGCGAGAGCAAATCCCTCTCTGGCTGGATGCTGCTGATAGCACAGAAGGATTAGAGCTGATCTTCCCTTGGAAAGGGAAGGAGGAAGAGAGCTCCAGGCTGATTGTGGCCTGTTAAATGACATTTTATAGCCTGCTATTTCTCACCTAAACACAAGAGTGATCAAAGGACTTGAGATAAACAATGATTTAATGGCTCCAAGTGTAGGAGCTGGAGAGGTTTTGAAAAGGGCTTGTGTACACAAGAATAAACATTTTATTGCAACCTCAGCTGTTTGCTTTCCATGAATCCCCACTGCCAGGGCACTCAGAGCACACAAACACTTCGCTCAGCTCCTTCCATTTCCTACACTTTGGGTCGTTTTGGTGCCTGCTTGGTGGCAACCCCTCAGCCCAGCTCAGGAGTGGCTGGCATGTCCTGAGCAGGGGGTGAGGGCACGGTCCAGCTCCTCTGGGACATCCTGGAGCTCCAGGGATGGGTCTTTGGGTCCCTGAATCTCCCTCCATCACTCTTGCTCCTGTTTCTCCCAGGTTTGGATGGGGAGAGGAGATCAAGGACCTTCCCTGCCTGTGCACAGCCCCAGGAGCCCAACCCAGCAGGAGCTCCACAGGGAGAAGGAGCCAGCACAGCAAACTCCAGGATTTGGGACTCCCCAGACACACAATTCCCTGTGCTCCCCGTGCCTCTGTACCACGGCTTTGGGTTAAAAAATGGGATTTTGCCTTTGCTTCAGAACAAACCCAGCCAGTCCAAGCGCTGTGGTTCCTTGCTCCCTCACCTCGCTGCTCATTCCTCAAAGTCAAGATAAGATTAATGAGCTGCACACAGAACTGCTGGAGGGCTCTGCACTTTCCAAGCCACAAAAACACCTTCAGCAGCAAAGTGAGAAAACTGAAGCTGATAAAGCCAAGTTTGGAAGCAATTAACATCAATCTAAAATTCAGCGGGTTTGGGGGCTCGGCTTAAAAATAAAAAGCAATTACTGCTGTGGCAAACTGAAATAATACCTTGTTTTTGCAAAGTTGACTTAGCCAAGGGAGTCTGCCTTCAGCAGCAGCTGGAATTAAAAGGGTTTTGTAAAAGCTGTTTACCAGCATTAAAGTGTTGGTGATTTTTTTTTCTTCACCTGTTTATCCAGACTGTAACAGCCTGAGGAAGCAAGAACCCTTTACTGAGTTTTATCCAGACTGTAACAGCCTGAGGAAGCTTGAGGAAGCTTGAGGAAGCAAGAACCCTTTACTGAGCGTGAAGCACTCAGGACAATATCCCAAAATCTGCCTGGAACACAACTGTGGGATCAATATTTCCCACGTGTGGGAAAAGCCAGGGTCCATAAAGGAGACAGAGGAGTCCTGCAACTTGGTTAGAATAAAAGGAGATATTCCACTGGGGAATCTCAAAATTCCTTTTATCCCGGACTCCTGGCTGCCTGTAGCCCTCTTCCTTCCCCCACTGTTCTGCAACAGGCTTTGTGCTGACCCTTTATCTACGACCCTAAAGTTCAGGAGTCAAACCCGTCCGGGGTCTGTAACAACCTTGCCCTTGAGGCTGCTGGAGGCAGCAAAAGCCACTTCAAAGCCATTCATGAATTGTTTGTAAAGACATTAGCACACATCTTCCCCGATCAGCGTTAAGGAGATCTTCCAAGGGAAACTTCAGCCAGCCCAGGAAAATCAGGTGCCAGCTTTGAGCAAAGCTCAGATTCTCAGTTAAACACCATTTCCCAAATCGTTGCAATGGGTAAAGAGGAAAGAAAAAGGAAAGAAAGGAGAAAAAAGGTGGGGGAACAAAAAGACAGGGAGGGAAAGGATGGGAAAAAAGGATGGGGAAAAAAGCAGGAGAAAAAGCAGGCTAAAGAAAAAAAGATGGGAAAAATCAGGTGGGGGGAAAAATGGATAGGGAAAAGGGAGTAGAGGGGAAAGGGCAGAAAAAAAGGTCGGGGGAAAAGGGGGTAGGAAAAAAAGGTAGAGGGGGAGGTGAGGAGAAGAAGCAGAGGGAAAAGGGGCAGGGAAAAAAAAAGGCAGAAAAATGCCGAGCAAAAATGCCATGCAGAACTGGTGTAGATGAGGGTCACCTGTGCACCAAAACCAAAAGAGAATGGATTTAGCTCCCATGACATAACAGGGGCTGTCAGACCTCCGGAAGCTCTGCTTCATTCCTGGGAATGCTCAGCAGGAATGATGGAGCCTTACCCAAAGCCTGGGCAGGTTTTCAGAGTCCCAAAGGCACAGCACAATTGTGACTTCCCCTGGTAAGAGCCCAAGCCAGGCAGAGCTTGGCCCCTCTGGATTGCTGTAACCAAACTGAGGTTTTCATTGCAAACCACTTGACAGGATCTCATTAACCTACTGCCTGTAATAGATGTACCAATAACAATCACCGAGTCGCATGAAATTAAAAAATCCAATAAAATATAAATAGGAAATACTCGTGGGTCATTTATTTTTCTACTCTGGAATTAGAGAAAATGAGGTCTGCCACCTCCCTCGAGCTGTGATGAATGCAAGTTCCAAACTGAACTGTCAAAAATTTCCAGGAATGTCTCTCCAACATCACACTGCAACCTTTTCAAAATTCATAACATTTTCTACTGAAAAGAAATCCCTGACTCGTCTAGGCCACGCTTGACACTTCTCCAAACACCAGGGTGATGTCAGGGCCTCAGAGAGGCTCCAGGAAAGCCCAAACCCTGCTGCATGAGCAGGGAGTTTTACCAGCAGGCAGAGAGGAGATGCTCCCCTGCAGGTGCATTTTAGGGTCAGTGCCCAGCCCAGTCCCCCTCCTACCTCACATTCACATCAAGCTCTTCCATCACAGGCAGCAGGCACAGGCAGCTGGGAGTTCAACGTCCATAGGAGAGACCTCATCCTGCAGGGGGAGAGGAACACAGGGATTAGCTCCAGATTTCCATAAATGCAGATTTCCCCCGCTGGAGGATCCAGGCCAGGTGCCCTCGGTGTTTTGGCCCCTGGGCAGACACCAGCTCCTGCTCAGCTGCTTTGGACCAGCACCTCCAGCTCCTTTTTCATCAAGCAGCTTCCCAGCTCTCCCCCATTCCAAACTACCTGCACACCTGCAAGACTTCCCCACAACTTCCCAACTTGCAAAGGCACAAGAAGTAGTTTGAATAGAGCCAGGCTGAAGAAAGTTTGCAAAGCCCAGGTGGGAAAACACAAGCAAGAAGGCTTGGTAAATTAGTTTCTGTTTTTACACAAACCTAAAACATTGACTTACCACTAAATTAAACCAGGTTTCCTGTGACACTCTATTGTGCAGCCTTATGAATACTTAATAGCAGTGCTGTAATTACAAAGATCTAAATGCTTTGCAGCTTGAGTTAAAATAAATGTACTTACTTCCAGCACCACTAAGTGATGTAAATATTAATGGGGTTTTTAACTCTATCAAAATTCCATCCTGACTCCAAAGAAATGAATGCACCATCTTAATAATGTGCTTGTGCATTTGCTGCTGCTAATCCAGTGGAAAAAATAGGCTCAGTTTCGGAGCACTTGAGGCTGTTGATTACCCCTTGTGCTGTCTCCAGGGAGCCAGGGATAAAGGCACCACCACAGCCTCTTCATGCCAGCCCAGATGCAAATAATGCCACTGTGGTTACTTGGCTTCAAAGGAAAATCAGAATAAAAGTGCCTCAGCCTTCCCAGACACTGATGCCAGCTTTGCAATGCAAATGAGCCCCCCACTCTGCAGACCTGGCTCAGGGCTTGCCACGAGGAGGAATTCAGGGTCTATGGGTGTATTAGACATCATTTTGCAAGGGAAATTTGCTGGAGTCAAAAGGATATTTTTATCAAAAAGGGCAGATTCTGGCTGGCCCATGTTTGCAGCTTAAAGCTCCAGCTGATCCTTTGGGCACTCTGCAATCTGCTGATTCAAAACTGCTGCTGTGTTTTGGAGAGAAAAGGGGGAAGAGGTCTAGAGATTCACCTCTGTGTCCCTGAGACCTGACCTCCAAGCTGAACCTGGAGGAAAAACCCAAAAATCCACTCTCCTGTGCTCCTGCTCTGGAGTTCTTCCCTAGGACAAAACACCTGGTGTGGTTTCACCCTGTGAGAAATCAGCCTAAAATTAACGCTGATTTCTCCTGCAAAATGGATGACTGAGTGACTTTGTCCTTCTCTTTGTAACTGTGAGATAAAAAACCCTCTTTATAAAGATGCTGTGCCAGCTTTCTGGAGCACAGTGTGGTGAGCAGTGATGAGGGCTGAGTTCAGTGCAGTTTTCTGGCAGCCACACGTTTTTTATGGGGTAACACAGGGCAGAAGATGTTTAGAAACTCCCTGGAAATTGCTGTCCTCCCCACCTCGTGCAGGAGTTCTTGGAAGTGCAGGGAGCCATTTAGCTCCCATCCAGGGTGGATTCCTGATTGAGGCCAGCAGAACCACTCTAACATGAATAAAGACTGCATTTACCATTAAATCCATGATTTCCAGGGGCTCCTCACTTTCTGTAGTGAACAGCTGCTAAACTGAACTGGGGTTGAATAAAAAAAGAGCTGTGGCTCGAGTCCCTACAATTTCACTTTTGGGGTGGTGATTTTCCTCGTTGCTCCATCATTACCAGAGAAAAAGAAGTTGTTAGCAGAGGTTACCTGGACCAGATCTCCCCAGCCCACATTAAACTGCTATTTTTGAAGTGAGAGTCACCTCAATCCAAAGACAATTTCTTGCTCATCACTGCAGAGAAGTCCAAAACCCTCCAGGAGAACATCCTGCCCATGACAACACTTGAGGAACAGGAAATATCGAAGTGATTCACCTTGTTCACTCCCAGAAAAAATGGCTTTATTTCCCCCATATAGGAAATAGAGGGGGAAAATAAAGCCATTTATTTCCCCCCAGAGCACCTCTTGCTGTCTGTGCTGTCCCTTCTCTCCCCAGGAAGGACAGAGCTGATAAGGAGTCCCTCAGCTGTCAGCAGGGACAGATTGCTGCGCTGATTTAATCCAGCCTCTTTCCACCAGGGGAAAATGGAGCACTTTGCTTAAACAGAGAAATTAAAACCGACGTGACACATCCTGAAAAATGAAATGGAGTCCAGCTTGAAACACCGAGCACAGAAGAAATGTCTTTACACTTCAAAAGCTCTTTAAAGTCTAAGGAAAGCCTCTGGCTTGCCCACCCAAAGCACAGGCTGAGTTCAGGGGCTCGTGTTCCCCAGGGCTGCCAGGCTCAGGTGGCACTGGGGTGACAGTGGCAGCCACTCCTCGTGTCAAACAGCTTTTTCTGGGTGCCAGCCTGGCCTTCACAGCCCCAGCCGTGCCCTCTGAGCCTCCTCAGCCTCTCATCAGCTTACTCTGTCAATGGCAAAGCTTAAATTTCATCCTTGAGCACCAAAATAGCCCCAGCAGGCAGCAGAGTCCAAGGGCTGCTCCCCAGGAAAGGGCACGGCCAGGCACTTGTGTCCTCCTGGATCAAAGATTTACAGCAGTAAACTCCTCGGGGTGACTTTGTCCCACAGCAGAGACATCTGCAGCAGCTCCCTGCCCTGCCAGGCTGTGTTTGTGGGAGGGGAGAGAGGGCAGCTGGAAACCTGCAGGTTATTCCTGGGACAGGGGCACCGTGAGCTCCACCTGCAGCAATTCCTGCCAGCTTTGCTGTCCAGACCGAGCCTCCAGCTGCACTCAAACCTCAGCCCAGGAAAACATCCCAGCGGAGAGCCTGGCTCCCTCAGGAGACCAAAAATACAGCAAGAGATGTCAATTAATGGCTGAGGGCAAGAAGAGAGGGCTGAGTCCTGTCTCACCACCCGACTCTGATCCCTGCAGGGCTGCCGTGCTCCCTCTTTGCTCACAGGTCACCAAATTCCTCAGAACCGACGTTTTCTTTCCTAAAAACACCTCCCAGCTTTTCTCCTCCTCACATCAGCACCAGGGTGTGGAAAGTGCTGCCCCAGAAAGGCACCAGCTGTGCTTTCTGTGTCAGATAAATGGTTTGTTTCCCGTCCATGCAGACTGGGAATGCTGATCAATGTGGGAATGCTGGTGAATGTGGGAATGCTGGTGAGTGTGGGAATGCTGATAAATGTGGGAATGCTGATAAATGTGGGAATACTGGTGAATGTGGGAATGCTGATAAATGTGGGAATGCTGGTGAATGTGGGAATGCTGGTGAATGTGGGAATGCTGGTGAATGTGGGAATCCCTCAGCTTTGTCTTGGGGCAGCTGCTGCTGGTCACTCCCAGCCTGCTGCAGGAGATGATGCCTTCAGTTTTAGCTTTTTTCCAGACTCTGCACTGCACTGGTGCAGAACTCTGCACTCCACACCCAGTGCCAGCAGCTCTCCTCACAGCTCAGGCACACAGAACAATCCTTTTCCAGCCCAGAACCAAGGACACCGCTGCAGCTGCAGCCCAAAAAGTGCCAACCACAGGGGATGGAGGAGAGCAGCCTGGGAGGGTGGGACTGCATCACCTGGGGCTGGAATGGGACACTGAACCCAGTGTGGGAATGGAGCAGAACTGATCAAAGAGTGAGAACTCGTGGCCAGGAGTCCCTGTGGGGTGGAGCCACGGCCGGGCTCCTGCACTGCCCAGGGTGTGTCCTGGGAAGGCCTTTCAATAAATCCCTGCTTTATTCCTGTACCAGTCCAGCCTCCATTCCAGGGAGCCTCTCAGGCATCAGCAGAGCACAGCTTGTCCTTCCCAGTGCCCCAGCTCCTGCTCCTGCCCCTCTCCTGCCCAGGCTGTTGTGCTGGACTCGCGCCGCTCCCCATCTGGGCTCAGGCACAGCCACAGCTTTGTTGTGTCACAATTAAAAGCCTCAGGTTTGTTTTTATTGCTGCCATAAGCTGGGTCTGCAGGCTGTGAAACACAAGCAGGAAATCAGCTCCTGCTTTGAAGCCCAGTGCCAAGACCCAGTTTATGGATCTGCAGCTGGAGTGGGGCAGGAACAGGAGGATCTCCTGCCCTGGGGCTCCTTCTCTGCCCCTGTGTGACTCCAAAAAATCTCTTGGGTTGGGCTGAGTTACAGCACCTGTGATCTCAGCTCCACACAGGGTTTGGTGGGCAAAATCTCCTGGTTTTAACAGAGCAGAAAGAGGAGTGAAGCAGAGGGATGGAGATGGAAGGGGGTGAGAAGCACCAGGTCCCAAACCTGCAGCACCTCAAACCCCGTGGGCAGGCTCGGGGCAGAGGTCACAGCTGTGCAAAAACAGAGAAGGAAAATGCTTCCAAAAACACAGACAAAGGGGAAGCTGGGAGCTGTGGATTCGTGGTAGAAGTTTAGGGGTTGTCAGAAAGCAGCAAGGGTTGGCTCTACTTGGCCAGAACTCCTCAGAGCTCACTCACCCAGACCCTCCCCAGCCCAGCAGGACTGACTGCCACACTCCACTTCCTTCTGAAATTATCAAAAAGAAACTCCAAAAAATCCTCCTGAAAGCATTCTGCAGTTCCCATGTTGCTCATGAGAAGAATTTTCTACTTTTTATTCCCATGCACAAAGAGTCTCTGACTTTCTGCCTCTTACAGCCACCACGAATATTCCAGCAAACAAATTGATCAGAAATCCCCATGGGAGCAGCAGATTTTTAACTGAATATTGGGCTAATTAATCACTAATTAGTGATTAATTAGTGCTGAATTTACAGTGGCAAGGATTAGCAATGAAAACCTGATTTAGTCCCTAAGATAATTCAACAGGACAAAGGAATCAACAGTCTGTGACTTTTATATCCCTTGGAAGTGAACAAAACCAGCTGCAGCAGCAACCAAAAAATTGCAATGAATAGCCCAGAAATCAGCACAGAAAAGAATCTGAATGTTCTCAGAGTTTGTGATTCGTGGTTTTTAATCTAAAATTCATCTACATGTGAAAATCTCCAGTGTCAAGGTCAGTACTGAGCCATCT